TTGGTTCTTAACGCTGATTGTTTAGCACAGAGCAAACTGCACGCTGCTCAAAAAATACCCATTCTTGTGATGCTTGAATTTTGTCTTTGCACTAGAGGAATTCGAGGAAAAGGCTGGTCGCCGAGCGGCATTGCGCTTTTTCAATCCAGTTAACAGCCATCAGTCCGGGGCAGACCGTCTAGAGCCTGAACGAGATTGTGCGGTAAATACGACTGTTGACTGGCAGGTACCATCTCACTCTGAACGCATAATAAAACGGCTTGGATATGACAGAGACAGTGCTGCTTTTTGTAGAAATTAACAGAAGTCAGAAAGATGGCTTGCTGCTCGTTGGAAGCACGTTCGTCGATAGTATCCGGCGGCACTCACTCCTCTCCATGTTGTACGCTGAAAATAACATTTTAAAACGCTGCGCATGCACCGGCGTTCCCGGCTCCCTCAAAAGTGCTTCTGTTTGGCATCCTGATCTTTTGTTTCAGTTCAGTTCCGTTTGGCATTTTTAATGCTTCTACATAACATTTGATGATCCCCCTTGTAACTCGTTTCTTTTTCCGCACGTGAATTTCCCAGCAATCTGTCAGTCAAAAGAAGGGCAGTCTCCCTAATACTGTCTGATCATGAACACAGCGAGGGTACTGGAGAAGTGGTGGTGCCGTTTCCATCAGTTTGCTTTCGTTTTGCTGATAGTTCGATGAGTGGGAACAGCTACCTTGGTGGACACCGAAACGCAGCCCATACTGTCAGCAGGATGGTGGCGATGAACTCCACGAGAGCATTTGAACGCTTTCTAGATGCATTCTAACTTTTCACTTCTAATTGTCACAAAATTGCTTCTTGAACTTGCAGTATTTGCTAGCATGTGCACATGTTTAAGGCAGTGAGGTAGGCTGAATCATTCTTTGCTAGCTGCTGCTTGGTAAAAATGGTTCTTGCGGCCTTAAGCCTACCATAGTAAGATAGTCGCCTTCTCGAGTGTACTCAAAGGTTTCGTCGTCTTCGGGATCGCCAATTCGTACCACATTCTCCGTCATCACCACACCATCTTCGCTCACATTGATTGTTACCTTAAAAAGTGGCAACTTTGTCTTGCATACATATTAAGACAGAGTTAGCTATCACTTTTTGTACCGGATAACGATATGTCCGTGGAGCGGTACGTGGAGCTAGCGCTGCTAGTAATGTCGCACGCCTTAATGAGGAAGTGAAATGGGTGCAGTGTAGTGAAGCGAAAGCAAGCCATTCCTAAAAATCCGATTCATTGCCTGTTCAGTGAGCTGAGTTAGCCAATAAGAGTCACTAGCCGAACTTGCAGTGCGATCGTTGGACAACACAGAGGGAGAGGTCGTGATTAAAAGTATATGGAGCCAGTACATGCTAGCTTCTCGTAACTCACTTTGTTTGTTAGCGTAGTTATGAAATTGATTTTCCAGGCAAACACACATATTAAAGGCGGTGATTTTTGAAATCCTGCATCGCTGTAAAGCTGTCAGGCTATCATGCCGGGTTGCAAAGAAGTAATCTAGCACGGATAATCCGATGTCCTAAAGAAAATCCATAGGGCTCAAAACAAATTATGCCTATCACATTTTGCTTGTTTGAGTGACGCAGAAAATGCGTTACATCAATCTTTTTGTTCTCGAAGAACAAAGAATGAAAATAAATCCTGCTCAGCAGCAGTGTGACCATCGGGAGGTTATAGCAACCACGAGCTGGATGCACAATGGGCCTGGGTGTGCTAACGGAGCGATGGCGTGCGGCAGTAAGATAACAGCTGATCGAAGCACGAAGTTTAAATAATGCATATGGATTTTGTGTAAAAAGACCTACATTGAACAAGCCATCCTCGAGATGGTCGCTGAGGAAAGGTACGCCAAGAGCAAAATCACGATAATGCACATTCTTCTTCCATGTAAGCGTTTCCATGTCGTATCGCCGAGGTAGACCGGATGTTGCCTTCCGGATAATTTTTGTAACGCTTGCAACCAGGATTAGTCGCCTGGTAAGCCATTTATATCCTGTAAGGAGTTACGGATGTTACAAGTACTTAAGGCTGATTAAGTGGCCACTTCCTCGTGGTCACCGTTCACTGATAAACGATGTCCACTACTTGCCAAAAGTGAGCAACAGGTCGTTCCCGCTAAATTTTAAATTCTCGTGGTCCCAACGATATTCCAAATGACACTTATTTGACGGGAGTCCAGCTGTCAACGAAAGCATAGCGATTGGTTTCAAACATTCTCAACATTACTGTCTTTGTCACAGCCAGTGCTTGTTGTTCTGTTTTCATCAGAGCCCACTTTTCGCATCTTTGGAGATAGTCCGAGCGATGTGAAATCTCTGTACCTCATAATCGTTTCGACCTGCGCATGGATTGCAGTGGAAGTGGGCATTTTGTCTGTCGAACAGATTCGCCCTCGAATTTTTACAGTTTCACAGATTCGTCTCCTTTACAATTTCCATCGGTTCTTCCATTTTCTTGAATTTTCCCTTCACAACAGTTCGTAGCACGGCACTGAGTCGAGTGCTGCTTTTTCGTGAACGACAAAAAAGGGACTGGGAAGAAGTAAATGCTCCATTAACAGGTAGTTTGAGACAAGAGTTTCGGCGTCTTGTTTGATGATGTTACGATGGTTTTTCGCTGATTAGTAATAATTTTGGTGAATGGATGGCATATGTGTGAAGCAGAAAGAACTATGTTTTTATGGATATTTCTAAAGGCACTTGAGTCGCAGCACGAATTTTAGCTCATTTCATTTTTAGCTCCTCATTCTCTCAGTCAAGCACTGACTGAACGAAGCATCGAGAATTCTAAGATTTCGTGATGAGTTTGAGCTGACGACACCTCTGCGCACGAGCTTTTTTATCTTATACATAGAAGATTACCTGTCTGATCTTGGTGGCAGTCAGAGAAGTTTACTGCTCATTGCTGTAGGACCGAAATTATCGGAATGTCGACATGTGCTAAAAGAAACTATTTCCCACTTGTCTGCCAGTCCATGATCTGATGCCCGTCCTCATTTGAAAGCGTTGTTATCGTTTGGACGTATTGCAGTACTTGTCTCATGCACAGATCATTATACAGAGATGCACCGGGGCGCTTAGTGCGCCCTCCGGTCGTGTTCTCCGAGTCAGATTTAATTTATACGAGAGGCCTTGACGTACGTCTTTTTAGACTGCTTTTCAGGCATTGGGACACACAGTGGGAAAAGAAGAATGAGAAAAGAAGAGAAATAAAACCTCGAGCAATGAGATACGCGTCAAGATTGGCTGAGCTCTCAAGCGTATAACGCCCAAAAAATTTGCTCGGCAGCTTACTGAGCGGATGTGAAATTGTGGACGTGATTGCGAAGGTGGCCAAGAATAGAATCTGCGACCACTGGAAGCCTGGCTTCATAGAATTATGGCCTAAAAGGACATCATTTTT